AAAATGAGCTAGATAGTAACCTATCTTGTGGGAACGAATTAGTACGCTCATCCAAGGAAGACGGAGTGACATCAGTATCTTGAAACTCATAATTTGACAGCTTCTAACGATACTTAAATGGCCACAGGTATGCGTCAGGTATAAAAACTGATCACTGCAACCCGAAGTTATCCAGAGTCGAGGCGTACTTGACTCCACTTTAGAAGTACCACCCACCTCTAAACGAATCTCTCTAAAGCATCAAAGCAATACCCTTTGCAGCAATTACTGCGATGACTTTCGAATTAGCAGGTTCGTTTTTTCATAAATAAAGGAGACAAGTGTTCCCAAGTGCATAATTTTACATAAAGTAATTTTTTTCAATTAGTGAATGGAATCCCACTAACTGCTTATCAACAATCATCAGGACATTCCAGATCAAGTGAGCTCAGCATGGCCGAAAGTCACGGACAACTGCTACTACACAAAATTGACAATATCACCTGAGGGGTGGAAAGAAACAAAAAAATTGTATATACGCATATACATTAACTTATGTCTCCTCGGTGTACCCGAATTTATATGGATGGCAGCCGACAATGAGAATCTTCCCAACAATTTAATGCTAGTCGTTTAGCCTGTCAATTCTGAAAAGAATAACGGGCAAAAACCACTGAAGAAAACAAAGAAGGTATACAGCTTCCGAGTCACACCCCATCAATTTTTCGATACTTTAGCAAGGGGAGGCAGAGTGGCAGTTATTAATGCACCCAAATATACACGAGCAAATTTGCAAGAAGACGGCAACCTTCATAGTAATAATATTTAGTATGAAAAAAATATGCACGAAGGAATAGGAATTACCAAAGATTTTAGAATTTCGGAAAAAAGTACATCATAAAACGGATTCATGCCAGTATAAAGACACACACACGCGCACAAATGTTTAAAGGAAGCAAAACACCAAAATGCTTAAGAGGGAAGCTAACATTTAACAGATCAAATATGTTCGAAGGGTTACTTCCACCTCGAAAAAAGGCAAGTGACGACATGGAAGAGGAGCAAAGCGAATTGGAACTATGAGTACCTATAGTGGTGATCACAACCAATTAGTTAATTGAGGAGCGTACAACATCGAGGTATTATAGAGAGGTCGGTCAGTATGATGCGACCTCTAGCGCGTTTTTTCGACTTCTGCACAAAGATAGTCGAGACAACTCGGGTCGGCCAGAGTCGAGGTGTCACCGAATTCGCGATCTCCGTTGGCAATCTTGCGTAAAATTCGACGAATAATCTTCCCACTGCGAGTCTTAGGCAAGGCCGGAGCAGCCTGAAGAACAATGTGTCACCAGAATATACACTATTCGGAAGCCGACCTTTGATGATAAATGCACATACCTGAATATAATCTGGTGCAGCAAAGGGAGCTATCTTCGTTCTCACAAGATTGACGAGTTCTTGGCGCAGTTCAGGAGTAATTACTTGAGGAACGCTGTCCTTTAACGTGACGAAACAGTGGAGGCACTCGCCCTTCACTTTGTGGTGTCTTGCAACGGCTGCTGCTTCGGCAACCAAAGGATGCGAACCCAAAGCGGATTCGACTTCAACCGTGCTCAAAAGGTGACCACTCATGTTCAGCATATCGTCCATACGTCCTATTGCAGTCGCAAGCAATGGCGTTAATAAACTGCACCTAATCTCATTCGATGGCATATAACAATAAACTTTTGTTCAAAAGACATTTTAACGAGGAATCAGGAAGTTTACTTAAGACACAGCATCCCAATCCTCTCACATATTTCGCTATCCAAAACTTGAGTCTTCCTTAGTCCTACGGATCTGTTAGGAATGTAACAGCCTCGGACAACTGAATTGGTGTTAAAAACTAACCGAAAGAAGTGACTTCGTCATGATCGAAAGCTATTTCCACCAAAGTAGCATACGACTTACCTTCAGGCAAGAGCCAAGCTAAACAAATTACAATAGGGTTTTTAAAGACCAGAACAAGAGCTGCCTGCGCGTCTATGGGAACTAATGCAGATCTAATGGCGAGCATGTGTGATGTGCAATGATATATTCACTGGTAGTATGGCGTGGTACTACGCTACTAGTAAATTTGATTATGGCAAGAAGATGCATTCATTTGCTGACACGAGAGACTACAAGAACTATTGACAAATAACAAGGACACGTTAGCGAGTGGTTCGATAAGTGAGACCTCACCATGAACGCTTTAAAAAATAATAAATGGAACAATTAAATGCTTACTGCTAAAGGAGGAAGGAAAAGATAGCTTCCTAAATTACGAAACAAGCGACAATGAAAGTAAGCTGTTTTAGGAAAGTAGAAAACATTTATCCACTTTTGGCGCTCGTAGACATAAGCTCAAAAAAGGTACATCAAAGAGGATCGCATTAAACAAGAGGCGGGACATGTGATGTAGCCAGTTGTTCGCTTACTGAAACTCAACCATTTGAAGAATGGAAGGTGCCAAATTCATGTGTTGGACTAGTGTGAAGCCGTGAGTCATCGCGTAAATGCCGCGAGTGGACGAGATGTCTTACGAAAAATGACGTTTGAAAAGCAAGCCAGTTACAATGAGACCAGATTATGGCTAGAATGATGCATTTTACAGTAATTACATGTAGGATAAAAATTGGCTAGGATTGTAAACGTTGTGACTTGAAGTTTATTGTTAGCAATAGTTTTTTCACCTCGAGTTTTGATAAATATACATTGCTCAAAAAGGGGAATACTAATGTGTGATTATTGATACACCCAAAATAAAACCTCAATAACGGTTGGGGTCAGAATTGGGCGATGTAATATGAGGACTTAATCATGTCTAACTAGACATTATAAATGAGATTCCACTGGTGTTCCTACTTGAACAGAATAGCTAGCTCATGCAGGAGAATGGTACGCAAAACATTTCCGCTCTAAATTCAAGCAGGTACAAAATAAGAAACTTAAGTCATATCAACTAGAGGGTTGTGCTCAACAAATCAGAAAGATGAAGACAGTCGCAAAGTCACGCACCAAAACAAAATTAAACGCTGCACGCACTGCTGCGTAGTGATAAAAAACGTTCGGAGATGCGATGCAACTCAACGTTGGGATTAAGGGAAACGAAGACGACAGAGCATTGATTTTAGCTTTCACAAGGATGAGCAGTCACGTCCGCAACTTTGTGAAAAGTGCGAACCGAGATGGAGAAAACGCATAGTCAGGCACACAGTGATGTCAATTGTTGAAGAGTAATGAAGATCAAGTTACAAGAAATCTAAGGGTGGAATAGCCGAATAGGTTTTCTGAATGCATGAAAATGAACCTCTAAAGCAGTGCTGGATAGCAAGCGACAAAAATATGCTACAAACAACAAGCGCAAAGGCAGAAACATTGACATCCAGTGCCATGCAATCGTACGCACAACAGCTACAAGTTATCGCCAATGGCATCGATTCCAGAATCTGAACATTAATTAAACAATTGCAATAACAATGAGGGAAGAATGTACTAGTAGGTACCTGTAATCCAGAAATTATTTTCTGAATCCAAAACAGCTCCGTCGCCGCTCATGAAATAGCCCGGAAAGCGTTTGAAGTAAACATCTTCGAACCGCTTATGATCACCGTAGATTGTGCGCGCGATGCCTGGCCATGGAGCGGCGAACACAAGATAACCCTCCTCCACGCACTTATCATCGGACAGCTTTTTCGTAGGACCACCTTCATCACTGGTGTCAAATTCATTTTTGATGATTCGAGCATCCACTCCAAAGAAGGGCCGACCCGCACAACCTGATCGCATGGGTATCGCACCTGGCAGCGTTGTAATCATATGACCACCTGTTTCCGTCTGCCAGAAAGTGTCCACAATGGCACAGCGACTGTCACCCACCACCTCATAGTACCACTTCCATGCCGAAGGGTTGATCGGCTCGCCCACAGAACCGAGAATCTAGAATGAATGAACCATCTAGATTTGTGCAGTGTACTATGCACTGGTATCATCCTAGTCATAAACAATCACGAATGCACAACGTTTACAAACAAAAATACCTTTTAATAATATAAAGAAGCAGTGAATGATAAAAAAATGTCAAAAGAGCTACTAATATGAAGGATACTCAAGATCGGAGTACGAAAAAAGAGAACATTGAAGTGCATTTGAAGGCATGGCTAGTGACCTTGAGAAAGCCTTAATGGCAAAATAGCTAGACCTGAAAAAGGAATAGGGTCGTTTAGTCTTGATAACAAAAGTCGATACCCACAGGGGATTGGTCACGTATAGACCTGGCAGCATTATGCCACAGGCTCACTCACACGGCCCGATTCGCTTTCATAGTAATTTAATAATGCAACTGCCTTAATTAGCAGTGCAAATGACGATAAAGACCTAAAATTACCTTGAGCAATGAGGGAAATTACAGCGTTACTCTGTTACCGATAGGCTACTCAATCGACGCTTGGCAAACAAACGTGTTATTGTTAGCGTAGTTAAGTGCTGAGAATTATCATTTGACTGAGTGAGAAGGGGACTGGACATACATAGATAGTTCAGGTCAGGACGAAGCATTTCACAAAAAGTGATGCCAAATCTTCCAACCGTTACCCACCTTTATGCATACAAACTACGAAAGAAACAGTGGTTCTAAGAGGACTTAGTCAAATTTGTTGAGGAAACATCGTAGAAACAATACTAGTTGGATAGCACGCTGTTAAGTATTTGTGACGAAAGCGATCGAAAAGGGTGGAGCGCTTCAGCGAACAGTTGAGAAATAAATGATAAAAATGGCAATATAATGGCAATATGCATTCTCAAAAAAACTTGATAACAAAAGAGCGCGCTCGTAGAAGACAAATCAGTAACAAATGTTCATCACATGACAAAACAATTATAGGCTTTTTACCTTGTCACAGGGTGTAAAACACAGATCACGAATTCAATAAAAGTCCGACGGTAAAAAACGCAACAGATCTTCAGGAAACAGGTTGAAAAAGTTAAGTTTGCTGGATCGAACAAAGTGATTGAGTCAAAATTTTCACCTATATGAACGACGAGAGACAGGAGCAAAATAAAATGCCTTTTAAAGTCGATCTCCGTAGGGGATGGCAAGTTCTCATTGGAAGCGTGTACAGGATCCGGTGGAGTGATTGAACTACCACAAAACAAACGGAGGGGCTTTTGGGAAAAAAGCCCTCAATACTAAACAGGCACGCTCAGACCGTCAAATTCTCTTTTTTTTGTTAATAAAGAGGCTTTTCATCATCAAATATTGTTTACTAACGCTTGCCATTCTAGAGAGCATGCAAGGAATTATTAACCCTTAATTGTGGACGTACTATAGGTATTATAAATGGTAATACTTATTAAAATTGCAAGCTTGGGCAGCTATGTAGATTGGAATAAATAGAAAACTTGCAGCACAAATAAACCATTACGATCAATGCACACCATCAGTGTGGGTTTGCTTGTTTGCTTTCAACCAAGATTGCGCCCAAACACAAGTAAAGCATAGAAATGGAGGAAGTCTTACTTTGAGACTCGAACGATCGTACTTCTTGACATGCTCTTCACCCGCCCCAATGAGCATGCGGATGACAGTGGGTGCGGTGTAGAACTTGGTTACACGATACCGCTCCACTATGGACCAGTAACGGCCGTAGTCTGGCCAGTTTGGGAGTCCTTCAAAAATCACGCTGGTAATTCCGTTCAGGAGAGGTCCGTAAATGAGATAGCTGTGACCTATTTATACTAATT